CAGGGCCAGGAGAGGGGCAGGCACCAGCCAGCTGCCAGGTCCGATGTACGTGGGTGACAGATGAAACTTGCTGGGAACCAGAAGGCTTTGTGGATGAACCAGAGGTCAAGTGTCTGGGCAGCACCCCCCGAGGAAAGAGGCTCCTGAGACGGCCCTGGGCACTGGCGGTGACTTCCTAGATGTCCACTATGTGCAGGGCTGAATGATGAACATGGTTGGGGGTTGGTGTGGAGGAACCAAAAGGTCCAGGACTGCGGGTCAAGATGCAAGGTGGGCACAGTGGGGTCACGCACTTGGGGACCCTGAGTATGGAGCCCTGCTTCAGGGAACAAACAGCTCCCCATCACGACCCAGAAGCAGGGTCCCCGCCACCCGTGGCATCTACCCTCCCCACCTCATGCAGCCCCGAAGTCTGATGGAAGCCCTCGGACCACTGCCATCTTCCTGCAGGACCATCTTCCAGTAGGACCTGTCCTCCTACTCTGCATTGCTGGTCAGACCCAGTCCAAGTTCTTTGCAGTTTTAAGAGCCACCGTGCATCCTCAGCTACCTCTCCCCGCTCCATTCCATGGCCACACGGGCCTTCCCACTGCCCGAGATGGGCACTGTGTCCCTGCCACCTGCAATTCCATGGCAGGAGACCTGTGCCCAGCAAGCTCTTTCCTCCCCACCCCCTTGGTTTGGTTCTAGGAGCTCCAGCTCAGAGCTCAGCTTCACGGCCCGCCAGCGGCCAGCCGGGTTGGTCTGGTGAAGAAGCTGCCTAACAGGCGGCAGAGCCTAGAGACCACACATACTGGTTATCTGGCAGTGCACGGCCTGACAGAATGAATCAGCTAGTGGGGGCTGACGAGAGCATCTCTGTCCCCCAAAATTATAAACCCCAGAAAGGCAGGGGCCACTTCGATAACTTAAGAGTTCCCAGCACAGTAATAGACGCCTAAGAGATGTTCACTAAATGTAATTACTAGATGGCAGAACGAGGGAAGGAGGTCTGGCCCCAGAGAGTATGGATGATTCTCACTCAATGCAAAGAAACTCGGGGGTGGGGACGGCGGAGTGACAGTCCAGTGCATAGGGAATTTGCCCTAAACAGGACCGACCTGAGTTCAATCCCTGGCACCCATATTGTCCCCTAAGCACTGCCAGGAGTGATTCCTAAGTGCAGAGTCAGGAATAACTCCTGAGCACCGGATGTGGTCCAAAAAACAAAATGGAAAAGAAAAGAACCGTCACTTGGAACTAGAGAGCTAGTAAGGGGGTTAAGGCATCTGCCTTGCATGTAGCGACCCTAGTTTCATCCCCAGCACTACACAGTCCTGCTGAGCACCATCAGGAGCAACCCCAGAGCACAGAGCTTAGGAGTAGCCCAAAGCAGTGCTTGGGTATCACCCCACCACTCCACCATCCCCCCAAAATAATAAGTGGATGTCACTTGCGGGACCAGCTCTTGTCGTGGTCTGGCAGGCACACGCATCCCACACAAGCAGCACTTACTTCCCGGAAATGCATAGTCGCTAGAGTAGGGGGTGGGCACCCCGAGCCATGTGCCCCTCCCCCCCAACATCCCCCCCTACCCCATCCCCCAGCCTCTTGCTGACACACAGACATTTTCCCTGATGGGAGCCTTTCCACGTAGCCCACCCAGACACAGGCGGAGGCTGCTCTGTGGCCAGCAGGCGAAAGCTCCAGATCACAAATGACAGGTAGTTTTGTCGAGGGTAAAAGTCACAACTTTCCCCCACGGCCGATCTGTAAGTCTCATCTTCTGCCACAGTGATTTACCGAGTGCAGGTCATACCGCCAGCAGCCTGGAAGAAATGAGACAGCGTCTCGCGGAGCTGATGTGCAGCCAATCCCCCTAGCCGCCCCCCCCCCCCAACCTCCCAACCTAATGCCAGAGACTAGGGACTCCTCTTCTACAGTTCAGTCTCCTCCTAGGAGGGAACACAGCTGCTATGAACTCAGGCAGGTGCCAGCTATGATTCTACGGACCATCATCACCAAGTCGTCACCATACAAGCTGCCAGACCAGAGAAAACTTCCTGAGACATGTTGCTGTGGATACATCCATTCTGCCTTCCTGGCACTGGGTTATTTCCCACTGTCCTGTGGCACGCTGATCTCCTGGGCCAGCTACTACATCAATCTCCTCTTTATACCTCACTACCTTAGCACAGCGGGAAGAGCATTTGCCTTGCACATGGCCGACCCGGGTTCGATTCCCTCTCAGTCCCTCTCAGAGTGCCCGGCAAGCTACTGAGAGTATCCCGCCTGCATGGCAGAGCCTGGCAAGCTCCCCCTGGCGTATTCGATATGCCAAAAACAGTAACAAGAAGTCTCACAATGAAGACGTTACTGGTGCCCGTTCGAGCAAATCGATGAACAACGGGAAGACAGTGCTACAGTGCTACCTTCTGACTGGCTGGAAGACCAGCCTGGTTTCAGTGTTTGCTGACTCTCGCGGTGACTCTGGTTCATTACAGAGCTGTTAGAATCCTTGGCTCACCTTATGCCCATGGGTTGCCTCTCACCTGGACCCCTCCCCAGGGAAGTGCCGCAATCCCCGCCCCCCTCCAACACACCTGGAAGTTAGTGGGGGGGGGGGGGAGAAGCAGGAATCTGAAACTCCAGACCAGGCAGGAAACCAGGTGCCACCCTCCCTCAGACTCCAGCACCCACTGCCGGCGCCTCCGACCAGATGCATCAGCAGACAACGCTAAAAGCTCTCAGCGCCCATCTCTTCGATCAGCAAAACCACAAAAAGCCCATCAAGCCACCTCTGGCATGAACTCAGAGCGGAGAGCGGCGAAGCAACCTAAACGATGGTTCCAATCAGGAGAATCCGACTCAGTGAAGCGCAAGCGAAGTAAAGGTCAAGTCTCCGATGAGCCCACCAGGCACTTTCCCAATGACACAACATGTAGCGAAAAAGAAACAGTAGCTAGCAAACTTTGCCCGGCTTGTGAACAGCCACAAACAGAGATTCGAATGGATGTTTAAAAAATGGAATTCCCTTGCTACTCTGTAATCACTAAATGTTCATTATGGAAACACAGCAAATATGCATGAAATTTCCCAAGTGGTGTTCTGGTTATAAGATTTAAGAGGCATCTCCAACAGCAGGCTGGGGTGCAAAGCCTCCTTCTCCGCCCACCATCCAGGAAAGCCTGGCCCAGCCCGGAACTTTGGACAAGCCAGCTCCTTACCCCGCCAGAGCCAGCAACCTGGGAAGCTGCTCCTTTTACTGCTCAGGCGATTTAGAAATCAGCCCCTCCCCACCCCCCGTGACCACTGATTGATGTCTCTATAAATAATTCATCTTTGACCTTGCTTTAAGAAAGCCTTGACTTTTTAATTTGGGGTCTTTTAAAAAAATCAATACCGGGAGAACATAATTCACTGCTGTGGAGTCTGGCTCCAGGTAAACAGGGAAGCAGAACCACCCACCTGACTGCGGGCAAAGGGGTCGGGCAATAGGTGGAGGGTCACTCTTGCACGTTTCCTGTGTTGGAAAGTTGGGGTTCTCTGCCAGCCAGCCAGCCTCTGGCTCCTCATGTCCACGTTCCATAGCCTCCTATGAGTCACTTCCCAAGGCAGCTTGCTTCTTCTCCCTAGACCCAGGTATATGCTTCTCCTCCCTAGACCCGGAGAAGGTCCCTAGAATCTATCCTGCCCGGTGGAGGGGGCTGCGGGTGCCAAGTGTCACCCCTTCCTGTGGCCTGCATGCATTGCCTTTGGAATAGGGGTAGAGGGTAGGCAGGAGAGGCAGAGCAGCAGGAAAAGTGGTTACACAATTATAGGACGGGGCTTCAGAAATACCCTCCACCCATGGACAGAGGTGGTGTGAATTTGAATTCATGAGGCAGCTCAAATTCGCTGGTGCAGCTTGTAAATCCCCCAGGGATGTGGCAGGACCATTTCTGCTGGAGCCTGAGAGTCCCTCCACTCAGATCTGGCTTGAGAGGTGAGCTGGACCTGGCAGCCTGCCCAGTTCCGACTCAGAACCCCAGTGCCCCGAGGTCCACCTTTGTACCCCAAATGGCAACAGGACAGGGAGTGAGGACCAGCCCTTCTGGTTCCAACAAAACAGTTGAGGAGGGAGCGAAGGGGCAGACACCGGCATGGTCAGGCCTGGAGACCCACGAAAGTTCCGGAAGTCCCACGCTGGGGAAGAGATCCTGGGAAGAGATCTCGGATCCCATGCCGCGAATGCGTCTGGGTGAAGCCGCCTGGCCTCCGTAAGGGCAGCACGGCGGGCGAGAAGCAGAAACCAGCGGGGCCCGAGTTGCCCCCCAACAGAACGCATTCCTGCATCCCTTACCCCACACATCCCAAGTCGCCTGGGCCCCGGGGTGTGTGTGTGTGTATGGGGGGGGGATCGCACAACCCCCCCCCTCCCCGCAGTACACCCCGCACACGGTCCCAGACGCAAACATAGGATCCCCAAAGACTACATAGGCCAGTGGCCTGGGGTGCACCTCCGAGTGCGGGACCACGTGCCCCCACCCCATCATCTCCTTCTTTGTCCCATCCCGCCTCCCGCGGTCGCGGAGCCCCAAGCCCCCGCCCCATCCCCAATCCCCCAGCATGCGGAAACGCCCAGGGGGGCTCCCCCGGCGCCCCAGTCCGGCCCTCGCGGCGCCCGACGCCGCCTCCAGCCCTCCTCGCACCCGGGGCGGGGACGAGGAGCAGAGGCTCCGCAGGGACCTCGGGAGCCCGCGGGGAGGCAGTTCACAGACGCGCGGCAGCGAGTAGAATCCAAGGAGCAAAAGTCTAATTAAAGTTCCCGCTCCTGCAGCAGGTCCCCAAAGTACGGCCAGACCGGAACCCCGCGCGCCCAGTCTCTGGCTCCGGCTGCGGGCGGCTCACAGCTCCGGAGCCCCCGGCCGGGGCGCGGGGACGTCCCTCGCCCTCCCGGGACCCTCCGGGCGCCCGCCTCGCCGCCGGGAATCCGCAACCGGGCGGGGCGCGGGGTGCGGCGGGGGGCGCCGGGCACTCACCTGGCGCAGCCGGCGCGCGCGGGGCGGTCGGAGCTCCCGGCCGGGGCGCGGTCTCTCGGCGGGGATCCTCGGCTCCCGGGCGCCCGGGCGACCGGCCGCACGTCCGCCCCGGCTCGCTCGGGCCCGGCGCCTCCTCCCGCTGCGAGCGGCCGGCGCGCGCGGGCGAGGGCGCGGGCGAGGGCGCGGCGGAGGCGGCGGCGGCGGCGTCTCCCCGCAGCCTCCGGCCCGGGTCGGTCCCCCCCCCCTCCCCACGCCTCCGGGCGCCGCCCGCTGCCCGCTCGCTGCAGCGCGGCGGGCTCGGGCTCGGGCGCCGGGAGGGCTCCCAGCGAAGTGCGCGCGGAGCCTCCGGCGCGGCTGCAAATAGCGCCGCGCCCGCCCCGCGCCCCGCCCCCGGGCCGGGCCCCGCCCCGCGGTGGCCGCGGCGGCCGCGGCGGCGGCGACCGCGGTGGTGGCGGTGGCGGTGGTGGCCCGGGGAGCAGGGGACCCGCTCCTCGGAGCCGCTCGGCCACCGCCGGGCTCCCCGCGCGCTCTGCGGTCCCGGCGCCCCCACGGGCGGGAAGCGCCGAAGTAGCCGCCGCTGGGCGCGGCCGGCCGCGGGGTGGGGCTGCCTGTCCGGGGGCCCGGCTGAGAAGCCGAGTCCCGCCCGGCTGCCGCTTGGCTCCAAACCCAGGCCGGAGTGCTTTCAAGTGCCTCGGTGGGTCGCACGCCCGCGCCGACCCGGGAAAAGGACAAGGCGTCACCGGAACGGTGGCTGTGGCCACAGCCCCGCAGGGGCGCGCGCCTAGGAGTGGCGCTGCGGGGGAACCGGGCCGGAGAGACTCCGGGTACTGATGCGCAGGAAGATTCTAAGGGGTCCTGCCCGCGCTTACGGCATCGGCGGGCTTCGGACCACGACTTGGAGCAGCATCAAAGCCTGTGGTCAGCACCGATCGCTCCCCCTCCTCCTCCTCCCCCCACCCCCCTGTGCCCGAGGCTCTGAATTTTGCGTCGTGCCCCCAAGCCTCGCACCTGAGCTACCTCCCGGGGGTCCCTGGTGTTTCTCGGGGTCTGCCCACGCGCGCGCCCCAGCAACAGTGGGTGTGGCAGATCCCGAGTCACTCAGCACCCGGCCAGGCTGGGGCGTGGACTCAGCCGAGGTGCCAGTCCCGGTTCTTCCCTGGAAGAGGCAGCCCCGCCTGCAGGGGGCGAGCGGGCGCCAGGATGCGGGCTTTCTGCAGGCACGCCTGAAACTAGACTTGGGGAAGGCTGGCCCAGCACTTGGCAACGCCTGCAGAGAAGCCTTTTTTAGGAAAGAGAAGGATGCGCACCCCCACTCTCATTTTATTTGCTGAACTGTTGGCCTGACCTCAGCTGGCCAACGGAATGTGAAAAAGAGAAATGGGGAGGAATGGACCAAGGCTCTCCTTGGTCAGCTTGAGCAGTCACTCTTGAAGAAAGCTTTGGAGCCCCAGTTCTAGGGCTCCCGCTTGCGTGGTACCCCAATTCTCAGGGAAGCCTTCATAGCCTAAGAGAGCTCAGAGTCTCAAAGATAGGACAGGAGATGGAGGGCACCAACTGTGACCTGTTGATGTTCATGACCATGTAGCCGTTATTGTCCCTGGTGAGGAAACTGAGGCAGAGCAATGTCACCAGCTTGTGGGAATACTCTCATCTGGAGGAAGGGCACAACCAGGATTGGAAAGGACCCAGAAGGGTGCTCAGGTTCCCTCTCCAAGACTCTGAGCCCAGGGAATGTTCTAGACTGAGGTTCATGGTACTGACTGTCTGTCCAGGAGAGTGTGTGTGTGGCTGAAATCACCCTTGCCTATCCCAGTCAGGCCAGAGGGTGTGAGTGGACAAGGCAAGACTCTGGCACTGGGAGGAACAGGGCTGGTGATCTTTATCCAACAACTCCCAAAGCTGCCAGAGTGGAGGAGGGATGATGGAAGATTGAGGAGAGGCGGAGGCTGGGGGAGGGGAGTGGGCAAAGACGCACTTAGCCCTAGACCCAGACTGTGTACTCCTTTCTGTCCCTGACCTCCACCTGGGGTCCTGACCACTGGTTGGTTGGCTGGGGGGGCTGGTTGTCAAGGGAAGTTTGGTGGTGCCATGCACGTTCCCCTGGGTGTGCACGCTCACACTCACACTTACACTCGATGGGCCCTGGGGAGCTGGTGACATTCTAATTCCTGGATCTGGAACAGAGCATGGCCACCAGACCCGTGGACAGAGGCGTTGCTGGGGTCAGACCTTGTCAAGGGCGGGCCGCTCCACCTGACTGCCCCACGCATCTGCGCACACCACACTCCATCCTCCGGGGAAGGATGGTTTCTCCATTAGCTGCTCCAACTGTACTTATTAGCACTTATTTGCATCTAATATTCAGGCAGCCTCCGCTAGGAATCAACAATGCTGCATCCCTTTGACATATGCTACAGTTTTGATGTTTCGCTCAGACAGTCTTCTTGTTTTGAGGGGCCCTCGGGAGAGCCCCTAAGGGGGCCTCAGGGCCCTGGCCCTCCCCCAGGCTGAGTTTTTCCTCCTTGGGGCTTGCCAAGGGCTGCATGCCCTTTTTTGAAAGTCAGGCTCGGCCTCTGCAGCGAGGGAGGCGGAGAATCACTGCAAATCCTGGCCTGCAGCTCTGAGCATCGCTCGAAGGTTTTGATATGTGGGTCTCCTCTGTGAGATTAGTGGCAAACTGGCCCTTTTGCATCCCAACGAAGGGAGAGAGACATTTCACTGATGGTCCTGAGCCCACAGCGTGGCTCCAGTTTTGGTGACGAGGAGGAAAGTCCCTGTAACCACTGCCAAAAGAGCAGGAGTGGGATCAGGGGTCCAATCCATTTGTTGGAGGACACAGACCCTCATGCCCCATTCCTAGATTTGGGCCCCGGCTGCTCTTTCTGAGGGAAGATTCACGCTTCTGGTGCTTGAGCAGGGGTTGAAGGCAGAGCAGCGGGGGTCACTGTGTTTGAGGAAGGACAGTGCTGCTGTCCAGCAGAGTGTGGCAGACTGCCCTCTAACCCTCCCATCCTGTTCTCAGTTGGAAACAGGACGTCAGGGGCGTGGTACCCTGAATTCCACGGGAGAAAGACTAGGTAGTGTGGTTCAGTGATCCAGGGTATTCCAGAATGTACATCCAGTTGCAGAGTCCCCACCTGAGTCACTGACCCCCAGGGACAAGGGTGGCAGTAAACATCCAATCCTGCCGAGGGTGGAATAACCCCCACTCTCCAGGGTTCTAGAAGTGACTAACTGGCAGCCGTGCAGGACAGGCTGTTGAGAGCCCCCAGAGTGAAGCTGCCTCCTCTGGACCTGGGGGTGGACTTGGGGGAGTCTCCCCCACTCAGCAGTGGGGGTTGCAGCCCAGTCTGGAAAGGGTTGGATGAATGCTCCTTCCCGCCCTTCCCTCCCACTCCCCTCAGCTCTCTTCCTTTCCTGTTCCATACGGGTTTCTGGATGCCGGAGTGTCAAAGGAAACTTTTTTTTCCTTCTATGGTAGGCCTCTGAAATGTCCTGATGTCGCCTTGCCCTTGAGAGGGTCCTCTATATTAGTAATGCTGTCAGAGTTCCAGGCACCCTCCCCCCCCCCCCCCCCATTCCATGTACCTGCTATAATTCTGGTATCGCTCCCTCATCCCTGCGGGCATCAGAAAAACTCTTTGAGGAGCTGGTTTCCAGGGCCAGCTGAGGTGAGGCCAGCACCCATCCTTAACACGGATGTGATTTGGAGAACAAATGAGGTTTTCTGGGTAGTACCCAGTAGACACTGACTGTGGCTGACTTGAACAGGAAGGGAGAAATTTCCTTTTGTTGGTTTGTTTGTTTGGGGGGGGGGCCCACATCCAGCAGTGCCCAGAGCTTACTCCTGCCTCTGCACTCAGGGGTCAGTCCTGACATGCTCGGGGAAGCATATGGGACACCAGGGATTGAACCCATGTAGGCCACATGTAAGGCAAGTGCCCTTCCCGCTATACCATTGCTCTGGCCCCCAGCTGTTCTTTATTTTTTTTTTTTTGTTAGAGTATTGGGAAATCATAGAGCAAGAGGAAAGCCGAACATCAGGTAGGAGGATGGAAAGGATGACAGCAGGGGGCTAGAGAGCCCTGGAGGTCTCTAGGGAGGAGACATGCCCCCATATCCCACATGTGCAGGTCTGCACAGTGGGCTTTGCTGGACCTTCAGTCCAAGAAGGAGCCAGGCCCAAGGCCAAGTCTGTGCACACTGGGCGCTGAGCCAGCCTGGAGTCTCTGATGAGGTCTTGCCAAGTTCAAGTTCATTATTGCTGTTTCTTCATTAAAAAAAAAAAAGTCACCCTTTAAGCACAGTAGAGCAGCTAAAGGGCTGCTGTGTATATTTTGCCTGCTGGAGCCCAGGTTCAATACCTGTCACGGGGGGGCTCCCTAAACACTGAGCATGCTGCGAGGTGTGCCCCAGTAAAACAAAACAAAAATGGTCCAGGTTGACACCCCTGCCTTTCCCACAAGTTCCTGAGATACCTCATATCCTCCAGTTGGTGATGGGGAGAGAGATGCTAAGTGCGGGGGTTATGTGCAAGAGGGAGTCCATGAGTGTTACCACAGAGGACTTTCAAGTATTCAGTCTCTGCTGTTGAATTTGGGCCAGACTCATCACACATTCCCGTCATGCAGGCCAGACTGAAGTTTACTTTCTCGCTGTCACTCAGAGATGTTGGAACTAGCCCTGCAGCGGGGGGAGTGTCTCCCCTACCTGGCACAGTAATTGGGTTTGACTCCTCTTGCCACGGTGGTGTGTGCAGACCTCTGCATCGAGACACGAGCGAGCTCATTAGAAATAGTTTCCCCTCGTCACTCGAGCTGGCTTGGCGGGCTCTCTCTCTCTCTCTCTCTCTCTCTCTCTCTTTTGGCTATCTGTTGTGGTTAGTCATTAGCTGAGGTGACTATTCAAATGAGGAAATTACTGTGTTGCACAAATGGATGGTACTTCCCCTTAAATGTTGCTGATACTCCAGAACTCCAGCGAGCCAAGTCCCCAGCTCCCTGAGCCGTGTGGCCAGGGTCCGTGTCACCTTCTAGAGCTCACTGGTGCTGGCGCTCCTCTGGCTTAGCCAGACAGAGTGCAATTTCAGATCCCCGCCACACTTGCCAAGGATTCTAAATCAGCTCAGCTCTGTGGTGGGCGCGTGGGGCTTTAAGCATCCTCTGAGTTGGTAAGGTGGCAAAGAGCACCCTTTTTAAGGCAAACGAGTGCTATTCAACACAGAAAGCTTAGTTTTGAGAAGCAGGTTTAGAATTTGTGAAACTACAGTTTTGCTTTGAATTGAACAGAAACACTCCCGTGGAACATTCTAGAAAAATTCATCAGCTGTCATGGGGA